GAGAGAGAGAGAGAGAGAGAGAGAGAGAGAGAGAGAGAGAGAGAGAGAGAGAGGAGAGAATGGCCTGAGTCTTTTGAAACCTCCAAGCCCATCCCAGTGACATACCTCATCCAACAAGAGCACACCTCTTAACCCTTCCCAAACAGTTTTACCAACTGTGGACCAGGTATTCAAACATGTGAGTCTGTGGACACTGTTTTCATTCAAACCCCCACATTCCACTCCCTGGTCCCCATAGGCTCCTGGCCTTATAGTAATAAAGAATGCATTTAATCCAACTTCAAAAGTCCCATGGTCTTCCACAGCCTCAGCGTCCGGCCTCTTCTGAGCTCAGCTGGGGGGGGGGCAGATCCTGCCTTCAGGGCTCCCCTCCTTTTCTCTGTTTCAATTTAGGTCTCCTTTAATTTTGTCTCCGTCAGACAAGCTCAGCTGCAGCATTAAATTTCCTGGTGCTCTTTTTTTCTCCTCCAGCCGTACATTCTGTATTTCTTTTTACCCCACTTGCTCTTTTTCACTGTAGACCTGCATAAGACTGATTACTAATAATGGCAAGACAGAGTCAATATTAGCCTGTCTTGAAATTTCCTCCGTCAAGGAAATTATTCCATTACTTTTCAATTTAACCTCAGGCAAATTTTAAGGACAGTGACAGAAAGCAGCCACATTCTTTGTCAAAATGTCACAAGAATTAGCCTAGTAGCTAATATTGTCCCCTCTGAGAACTTCCTATCCCCCATTTCCACTTAAACTTTTCAGCCTCCAGTTTTTTTCCCTTTGTCCTTTCTTCCCGTTAATTAGTTAATTAATTTATGTATTTATTTGAGACAAGGTCTCACTATGTAGCCTGTCTGAGCTTAAAATCTCCATGTAAACCAGGCTGGCGTCAACCGCACAGAGGTCTGCTTGCCTCTGCCTCTGCCTCCTGAGTGCTGGGATCGGGGGAGTGCACCACTGCACCCAGCTGCCCTTCTATTGTCCTATCACAAGTGTTCTACCTGCCCAACCCCTGCAAGCCTCTCTTCCCTTTCCAGGGTCCTGTTCAATTTTCATGATCCCATGGCTGATGTCAAACATTTTTCCATATTCTAAATGATAACCATGATTTAAAAAAATCACTCCATACACTCTGTCTTTCTAGAGAAAGCCTTAAGCCTCTGGGTGTCCTTAGGAAAACACCAGGGGCTGGAAAGATAGCTCATCAGTTAAGAGCATATACTTTTCTTGCAGAGGACCCAAGTTCAATTCCCAGCACACACATCAGGAGGCTCACAACCACCTGAACTCCAGCCCTAGGGGGATCTGATGCCTCCACCATCTGTAGATACCTGCACTCATGTACACAAAAGCACACCCTGACACACACACACACATCTAAAAATAATATAAATTTAAAAAATCAGCAACAATAACAAAACAACCACGAACTTGGAATTGGTGTCTATGGTGGTTAATATTGTCAACAGGCTCCAGAGTCATCTAGGAGA